TATATTTATAAATTATTGCATTAAAAAAATTATTAAATGTATATATATATAAATGTGTGTATATATATATAGCTCATTAACATATGACGTTTAAATATTTACATTTAAATATCAAATATCATTTACATTTAAATATCAAAACCTGTTCAATATTAAGCGACTGCATCTGTACACAGGAAAAATAAATATAAAGGTGGTAAAACCAATCATAATAGAGGCCAATTACATTCTAAAGCAGTGTTTAAATGTAAAGGTCAAAGAAAAATTGGGAAAATTATTATAAAAAATTGAAGTACAACATTTTTGGTGCAGAAACCTTCACTAATGTGAAATTCAAGGGTAAAACAAAAGTGTAGCATATGAGCTTTTAGGTGATTTCTGTGTATGTTTGTGTGCACCTCAGGCAGCAGCTCCGTACAGGAGTTTTTCCGGATCATGAATCGTCAGTTCACGGATCTGGAGTGGATGAACATCCGGAAGGCCGGATCGGACTGGGACCAACTGGACATGTTTTATAGGCACTGGGTAACTATAGCAACCACTGCTTCCTGTAGCATCATCATCATCAACAGCACACACTGTTACACACATCTAGCAGCATATCGCAGCGGGAGAGAAATTGTGCTGCATGAAACTGTTCCAATTCTGATCCCTGTTTCCATGGCGATGTGATCTCATCACTTCAGCATGACTCAGTTATGCCAGTCTGTGGTCATTTGAGGACTCTCATAAACACACACACTCATGTGCTTGTATCAGTGCTGTAGGTGAGAATGTGGTCACACACACACACACACACTCACCTAGCTGTCCAAACCTAACCTTAAAAGAACACTACATGCATTTTTACATTTTTAGTTAAAAAATAGCATTATTTGCCTTATGAATCATTTGACCTTTGAGGATGTCTACAGAATATCTTACAGTAGTTAAATTATTTTTTAACATTTTTTAGTTTTATAACAAAGCAGATTTTGTTTTGTATTTTAAAAAGAAATAAATGTCGCAATAATAACTAGATGTATACGAAAATATATCAGAGTATTACACTGATTTTACCAAAGTAAAATGTTTTGTGTTAATGACGTATGACGTATGTATAATGTTTAATGTGAAAGAAATTACACTAATTGTAATTTT